AAGCATACCCTGAACCACGTTAATTGCCTTTCAGACAGTTCAAGTCTAGAACTTTATTACAGAAGACCTTCCAGCTATCTATAACTCATTCCATATGGTGAGGTGTTTCTTAACTCATTACTTGCCAGGTGATACAAAACCCTGAGCTGTGGCAGCCACTGAGGAAACTCAGGCTATGCTGTCTAGTTAACTGCCCATTAAGTGGCTACAGGATCAGGTTTAGCAGCTCTAAGCACACACACAGCACCTGGGCTAAGGACACATTTATATTGCTCAGGGAAAAGAGCCTTAAGTGGATAGCAGAAGCTCTTCTGTTCTTTGGCATATTCAGTCATCTGCAGTTTATTCTGCTCTGCAGCAGTAGCCATCATGAATCTTAAGCAGTAATTACCCACTCTGACTGCTCGCTCTTAATAGGCACAAAGTATTCCAGCTTCCTTTCATCTACCTTGCAAGGAAAGTTTGGAGTGAAGACATTTAATCTTACAACTGAGAGAATTGATTGCATAGAGTTGGAAACTATCACTAATACTCTTAGGTCAGCAAGTTAAGGTGGAATCCTGCTGTCCAAGTCCTAAAAGTAGGAAGAATTGCTACTAAGAAGTTTATGAATGTCCTTTTGGACACTGTTACTCATTTCCCTCCATGCTACTTTCTACACCAGTCTTCTGACTGTTCAGTTACTTTCCAGGACATCAGTCAGCAGGCAATTAAAATATAGTAACTAAAACAAACTTCAGTATTATGACTACCCACAGTGAAAGGCAAAAGTCAAATGGCTTCTGCTCTGATTCAGCCTGAAATGGAAGCATTTCAGTGGTTACTCTTGTAGCATTGCATGTTTCCCTCGCCAGCAGTTGGCATGAACTACAAGTTCAGGAGTCTGCATGTTGGGATCTAACGAGTTTTACAGTGCCACAGTAGACACATTTAACAATGGTTGTTTGATGTTCTTCTATTATGAGATCTGGTGACTAGCTGCAGTGAAGCACTCTGTACCTTACACCAGCACGTAAGGCAACAAAAAGTGCAACACCTAAGTATGTCTCAGCATGCAGTACTACAGACACGCTCAGCCAGCTGGCACCTGAGCCCCACATGCACTGCTGGAAGCAGTCACTCTGCCCAGGCCTCTGGGAAACCCTGCAGTTTGTGCCTTACCTTGACTCCAGTTGCACAGCCTATGTGCAGGTATGCACATCTTACCTTTCATCACTTCCACTTCATTGCCATGCCTTGTACAGGCTATGGGAGGCAGTGAAGGAGCCCAGGTTTCTTCTATTGCAATCTAGCCTAACTTCAGCAGCAATGCTTCTATTGTAACAAGCCAAGCCAGGCACCCATATTCAGGTACCCATATTCAGGTTTACCTTTCCCCAGGTAGCGTGTCTTGTCATTGTCACGAAGCTCCAGAGCTTCATAGATTCCAGTTGAGGCACCGCTGGGAACAGCAGCTCTGAACAGACCTGTTTATAACAGAAAGAATTGCCTTAGCACATGGAAAACCACCAAGCATGCTTCACCCACACATCATCTCAACCTTCCACATGCTTCCACCCACAGAGATAGGGGAGATCATAGCTAAATCAGATCTTGGTGATCCTACACAATTTGTCTGCTCCATTAGTGTCACCCCACAGCAGGCTTTCACTCCCTCAGACAAATACACATTCTCTTCCTGTGTGAATTTCAACTGTGTTTGGAAAGCTGCCCATTCACCTTCCGATACAGCAGGTTTATTCAATGAATCTATTTCTTAGGCCAGTCTAGCCATTGAGCTCTTAAGCTCTTGTGAGATGCAGCACATGAGACAATTCAGAGACCTGTTTTGCTCATCTGAGCTCTTCAGACCATTCATTCTTCCAATTAAGGGTGCTGAACTTGAAGAGCAAATTGGAGTCTGTTTGGCCTGTTGTTCAAGATGCCAGCCTTCCATCTCCTGCCTTTCCCTTATCCCACTTAGGCCAAGAGCTTAGCAGGGGAAGTCTCATTAAATGATTGCATTAATCTTTTGAGGCAAAAAGATCAGCTATTTAGTTAGTGTATTACAGCCATTGTATTTGCTCATTCCACTGAACCATGCTGGTCTGTGCCTGTACAATGCCTTTGTCAGATCCTATCAAATATGGTCTGAACAACTAACAGAAACCAAGGAAAAATCATAATAATTAGAAATATAAGATGTTGTATGTGAAAACACAATTAGAGAAGATGCTGGGTCCTGCCTAATTACCTGTGCAGAAAAGAAAACCTTACCCAGGATTCAATCCCACAGCAGAAGACCTTCATTACAGAGCCTGAGAAGCTAAACATGCTCAAGTGCAGTCAAACAGACTTAAATGAACACAGAGAAACTAAGTCCATTAGGAACTGCTTAGGGACAGGAAGAAGGTGTTAACAGAGTTGGCCAATGCTATTCAAGTTAAGCTCAGGACAAGGGGAGGGAGGCACATGACACTGTTTGCATTAACACTTGTGCAATGTAGACAAATATCTACTAAGGACTCACCCTTGTTGGTGTAGAGGTCTACCTCAACAGTGGGATTTCCACGAGAATCAAAGATTTCACGGGCTTGGATCTTAAGAATGGACATCTTGAACACCTGCCAAAAGAGCTGAGCGTTAATTCATAACCAGTGGTGCCACCAGCAGTCATGGGAACAACTCAGAAACACTGCTTTACACATCAAGTAAGAAAACATTCACTGCTTGCCTGGAGCATTACACAAGGAGGAAAAGAACCTCAGCCTAAGCAGAAGAACCATTTAAAACCAGAAGTTTGATATGCTGAGCATATCAAAGTAATCAGTCAAGTAATCCCAATACAGGAAATTACTGCAGCTAGTTAGAATTCTTTTTGCTAGAAGACTCAAGGGCTCGTAGTATGCACTGCAGCTGTCCAGAGCCCAACATAACCTGTCTTGAAATAGAAAGACACCCACAGCTCTAAGCACTAAGTTTTGCCCTTTCTTAAAAGGAATATATACAGGAATAGCCTTTCCTCCCACAGGGAGGACAGACCACCGCAACCTTTGAGAACTTCATCCTGCCCCCATCTCACATCCCCACACTTAAAACTGCTGTAAGGAATGCCTTATGTAAGCTCAGACAGTACTTTAAAAATCAAGTCAGATGAATGCCTGTAAGCTATGGACCAGCACCAAAACCAGTTCATCTGCAGAGAAAGCTCAGCTCAGAACCATCTGGAAGCCAGCTTCTGGCAGGCCCGTGTGGGTGGCAGCTCTGTGTGACAGCAGTCACGAATCTCCTCTCACTTACTGAGATGACAGGCTCTCAGCAGTGCTGCTGCTTGTACCAACACAGGAGGAAGGCAGTTTCACCACCTTCCTCCCTCCACAGGAAAGTTTTCCTCCCCCCCATTAAAAGACAGGTAGCCATTCAGTTTGTCCCCCTGGAACAAACTGCCCTTCAAACTGCCTTGCCTCTGAGCAGCTGACTGTACAAGGCAGCTCAGATATTTTAGACACCCTTTGCCTTACTGTAAGACTCACACCCTGACAGATGATATGACTGTCCTAAGAAGCAGAGCAAGCTGGCTCCAACTGCCCTCCATGCAGTCACGACTTAACTTTAATCAGTGAACATACAAGCTAGAGACAAATCCCTGCAACTTCCATGTTAGGATTCTCATCTATGCAGATTGAGCTTTCTGCCACATGCTCCAAGCAACCACTAAAGGAGAACAATCCCCACTTATCTGAAAAAGGCTTTAGCAGCTTCTACTGGCACCTGCTGTGCCTCACTTTCCTTTTCAGAACCAGATCTGCTGCAAGACATAAGGTGCTCTGTTCTCTGAAAGCACTGGCAGCTCACAAGGAAGTCTTAGTGCAATGCAAGAACTGCCTGTTCACCTTCACAAAGGTGTCACCCCAGCAATACATGCTGCTGGAGCTTCCACTGGTACCCCAGGTCTGACATTACTCAAATGTCCTTGGAAATGACCTCCCCAATAGTCCCTCCCTGTTTTTTTTCAGAGGAAGGCATTTCACAGCAATGCACCATTCCAAGAATTCCCTGCCCTTTTTTTTTTTTTTTCTCTCTCCTCGTTTTCATGTCCACTCACTTCTGTATTCAAGAAACTGTTTTCCTACTGAGTGTTCCCCCGGGTAAAGCTGGTAGCGTTCAGCTCACCACAAGCTATGGAGATGCATTCTGCCTCCATCTATGCAGACGGAGAACCCACATAGGCCCAGCTGCAGGAAGGCTAACTGTACACAGGTTTGGACAGCTGTGTGGCCTCTCCAGACCTTTGTACTTTGTGATGGAGCTAGACAAACACACTGATAGCAGAGGGGTCCTTTATGCACATATTGCCTTAAACCTTGTTTTGTACTCTAATCTGCTGGCAAGGTCAGAGCCTCCTTTTGGCTTCCCAGGCCTCGCTGGGAGCAGACATGTCATTACCTCCTCCAAGGCATCAAGTCCTATCAGTCATCACCTACTCCCTGATGCTGTGCTCTGCACAGGGAATGCAATACTCCAACAATAGAGCAGGCTGCTCTAATTAAAGTTACAATGATTTGCAAGCTCGCTGCCAATTTTATTACCAAGAGATTAATGCATGGAAGCTATTTTGCAGCCACATTTCTCTTAACACGTGCATTTCTCGTCACACATCACTGCAAGAATCAGTATGGAGAATAAAAGCGAGTAGTAGTTTGGCCACAGAACTAGCCTAATTAATCGAGAGCGCTTATCACAGAGCTGCCATGCAGTTATCAGTGACACTTACACGCTTTAAGTCTGCAACTCTCATACGACCACCCTGAAAGAAAAAATAACCTTACTGCTCATTAATCCTTGACCTCACCGGCTTAAATCCGAGCAAACGCTCTGCCTGGGCCAAACCCAGCACCTCCTGCTCTCACTCCCGCGTCCCACGTGGTGCCGGCTCACCAGCGCAGCACGCCGTGAGGCAATTTAACACCGTGCGGCACGGAACGACTCAAAGGCTCGCCGGCTCCTTCCTCCTCATCAAGATGGAGGCCTGGATCCGCAGCCTCGCGCTGCGCGACCGCCTGCACCGCTTCCTGCCGCAGCCCTGCCCCGTGACTCAGCCGCGTGTAACGGCACAGAGGCCAAGATCCTCTCGGCAGACGCGGTTTTTCCGTACACGAGTTGCCCGCAGACGGGCATCGCGTTACGGGGGGCCGCGCCTCGCAGCGCCGCCCGCAGATAAACGGGATTGAATCCCGCCCGGAGAGCCCAAGCGCCCAGATTTAGGCGTTGACGTAAGACATTCAATATTTGACATGAAGCTGAAGGACATCCAGCGCCGCTAAAGAGGGGAAAGGTCCAAAGCGCGACTCGCCGTCCGAGACGTGCTGCTTAATCATTAAGAGACAGACGTTAATCGCCGCCGGGACGCACCGCGCTGCCGCCCCCCGCAGCCCAGCGGTTCGGCATGGGGCCCGCAGGCCGACCGACCGCCCAGCTCCGGTCTGAGAGGCGCAGCGGGTGTGCCGCAGCACCCAGCCGGGCCGCAGCTCTCCGCAGCTCAGTTCACCCCGCCGCCGCCCTCCTCCTCCCGGCCTAACCCAGCCCCCCTCTCACCTCTCCGCACCCGGCTCAACGCTGACTGAGAACGGACGACTGCGCGCACGCCAGCCTATACCCACCTCATGCAGATGAGTTGCCCGCCTCCCACCTCCTATTGGCCAGCTCGGCCACCTACGGCTTCTCTATTGGACAATCCTAACGCATGCTGATCTTCCATTGGTCGGCACCGCCTCGCGCCAGCGGCGATTCAGAGGGCGTGCGCTACGTGCCGAGGCAGCCTGCCGGGCTGTGCACACGGGGCGTGGAAAATCCCAGGGGGGGGGGGCGGGCGGGTTCACGGCGGGAGGCGGGAGCGCGCGCTGAGCGCGGGAAGCGGCGGTGCTGCGGGGAGCGAGCGGGGTGCAAGGAGCGGGAGGTGGGTGTGCAGGAAGGGTCTTTTTCTCCTTGTGCACCAAACCACTGCAGGTCTGCTCAGAAAGTTAGGGACATCGACGCACAGGGTTTTTCTGCAGCTTTGTGCGTGAAAAGAAAATGATTCTCGCGCGCGTGTGCGTGGATATTGGGGACGTTTATTTTGCTTGCGGTGTATGCAAAACCCAAGCTTTTTGTAAGGATTCGGTGCTGCAGTGCCCCCGAAATCACTGGCTGGGCGTAAAGGTAAAGGCATGCATGCACAGGAGGGGGTCCAGCCCAGCCCCCGGGCTGCAGGGAACAAAAGGTTCTGGATGTGCACAAGGAACTGATGCCCCAAAGGCACGTGCTTGGGGACCAGCAAATGCATCAGAACAGGGCCCAACAGCAAGCCCTGGTGTTAGGAATTTGCCCAGAGAATATTATGCACAGCAGTACTGGCCAGGAAGTTTAAATAAATTTAAAAAAAAAAAAAAAAAAAACCAAACTGGAGTCGAACTGCTGGTTTATAGGCACATCTCTCGTTACATGCCAACCCCCAAAGCTGTGTGTCACAGCCTTTGTGTCACAGCCTTTGTGTCGCGCTCAGGCAGCAGCGAGCACAGCATCCTCCTGCTTGCAGCAGCCAAGAGGTGAAGCTGCACCGTGCCACGTGGAGGCAAGCAGAGGTCCGGGCTGCTCTCAGCCATTACCCGGCCTGGCTCTGCTTTCCCTCTGAAGAGAAGAAATGAGAGCATCCCCGAGGCTATGAGCTGTCTGGCTGGCAGAGTTCCTGTGGCAGTCCGGGCTTGTTACTGCTTAATGCTATCCTGAGCAGAAATTTTGGCAGGGGGGCACATGGCTAATGGGGCACACTGGGAAGGAACACATTTTGGCACCTTAAAGCTGTGCAGCTGTAATCCGCCCTGACAGCCCAGCAGCTCCACACCAACACACAGTGCTGGGCACCCATACAGCACTGCAAAACCCACCTGCGCTGCAAGGCCAGGTTGCATGATGTGTTATATGCAGTGCATGCAGCTTATTCCACTGCTTGCAAGGAGCTCATGGTTCCAATCACCAGGATGCTTGAGGAATGGAACCTCTGCAGGTCAGGACTTGTTCCCCAGCTCAGTCATACACCCCAGCAGCTCCATGCAGAACAGGCTGCCTTCCAGGGCGTGAGCTTTTGCTCTGTGCATGCGTTTCCTTAAGACTGCAGGGATCTCTCTTCCTTCCTCAGTGCACAGCTGAAGGGCAAGTGCTCCTCAGCTCAGCTCTGCCAGCTGGGCCCTATTTCTATAGGATTCTTCCAAAAAGCACTCCTGTGAACCAGCAGCCTTGCAACAAGGCCTTCCTGAGTGCATCTCCCACCTGCAGCCCTTGGGGGCTTTGAGGAGCGCTCGCTGGAAAGGTAACAGCACTGCCCAGCACTGCTTCTATTGCACATCTCGCATGGCTTCTCAGGTGCTCTTCTCTTCCAGGCAATCCAATCCCCTTCTGACTTTCTACCTTCTCATCCCCCTCTGCTGTCATGCTTCAGCCTTGCAGCCTCTGGGTGATGAAACACTGCCGATTTTAGGCATGAGAATAACAAAATGACCAGAGGTGACAGACGGATGTCTTTCTTAAAGTGCATAGCTTCGCTCTTCTAGTTCTCCTTTGTCCTCCTGGGGTTTGGCAGCTGGGCCGCTGGGTGCTCTGGGAATGGTCTCAACCTCCTGACTTCAGGCACTGCCCAGCTGTGCTGCTCAGCCCAAGCAGGGTGATGCTACCAGAGCGCCTTTCCCAGCAGCTACCTATCAGAGATTGAGATCTGAGGGTAAACTGGAAGCTTTTGGAGCAGTTGGATGTGAATTCCAAGCTCTGTGCAACCTGAGCCCTGGTCTGGTCATCCTGCTGGTGGGCGAGTGGTCAGCTGCTGTTGGGAGATGGTGTTTGGTACTGAACTAAGAATGGGAGCCAGCGGACAGTATGGGCAAAACAAATAACAGCTCCTTTGTTGTCTGAATGAGTGCACAGCACTCATGCAAAAACAAAAAGGTTATCAAGCAGGCTTCTCTGCTGCAGAACAGGTATGGCACAGACAGGGAGGATTTACATTTCCTTCTTGATGCTCTCCTGCCCTAAAAATCAACCAGGTTCTCATGGGAAATGCTCTCAGCTCCTGTTGCACAGGCCATGGTGATGGCAGTGGAAGTGTGCAGCCTCTCCCGGTCTGCTGGTGGCATTGCCCACCCATCTGTCCACCAAGCTGTGGAATGTTAGGAAATTAATGCTTGCGCAGCCCTTTGGAGGTGCAGAGTGCAGTGGATGGGCTCATCCCAAACCTCACTGCATTGCCTCTGGCCACTGGATGTCACAGCTGCTCAATGCGCCGTGCAGCTCATTTTTTGGCAGCAGGGATGTGCTCTGGGGAAGTGCAGAGCACCTGCAGCCCTACTGAGGTCAGGTGAAACATCCCAGCTACAGCATGTTGCAAAAGCTCCACTAAGGATGAATTCCCTGCCAGCCCCAGCTCCCGGCTCGCTGTCGGCTGCTTTTATCCCAACCCAATCAGTGGAGTGCACAGGGTGATGGGCAGCTGTGGGGTCACTACACCCTCTTGGTGCAGCTCATGCTCTGTGCTGCTGTCTGGAATCCAGGAGTGCACCCAGGTATAAACACTGAAGTGTCTCCTCAGCGGATTTCAAGGCTTATTTACCCAAGCAGATCCACACGGATTAGGGAGTGCATCGCAGGGCACGTTTGGTTAGTTCAGCCCCAGCACAGTTCAGTGCAGCTGTCAAGATAAATTATTTCTTTAGGGGAGAGAAGGAAAAGTATGCGTTTGCTTAATTAACTCCGTATTATGGCAGTTCCCAAACATTAAACACATGTACAAAACCGCCAACCAGGAGTGCCTTGCAAGGCTGCTTTTTGCTGGGCTGTGATGGCTGGGGAAAGGAAACATCTGGCAATGTACTGAGCAGCTACAGGAGCCCACAGGAGCATCGGGGCACCCAAAGCCTCTCAGCTCTGATGTGAATCCCTCTAATAGCCACTGGGGCTTTGTAGAACCATACAGTCATTCCAGTTGGAAAAGAGCTCCAGGATAATCATTTTCAAAGGAGCCAAGTGCCTGCAGCACCCCGTGGGGCGGGATGGGCGCTGGAGGGGCTCAGCTGGGAGGAAATGGGCATTTTTGCTTCCTGGGCATTCTTAAAGACAAGTGCTCCCCATCTCCATCTGGCTGCAGATGCAGGAAGAGATGCTCATCCCGACGGCCCTATTGCTGCTGCAGCTGCTGAGCTGCTCCCACGCCGTGCACTGGACCTACCGAGGTAACACAAAGGAGGAGGCTTTGGGATGGCTGCTGCTGCCAGCTTGCTGAGGCGCTCACATTCCTCCTGTGCTGCAGAGGCAACACTCAGCTTGCTGCTCCTTTTGTTAGCAGCAGCTCTCCAGCGAGCAGCCAATTCATTCCGCTTTATTGCTGACTGTGTATCTTGGAAGGGGTCCTCTGGCTTTGTGCTGCACTGAGCCGTGAGGTGTCAGGGCTGGCAGATGGACGGGCTCAGATGAGGGGGAAAACCTTTATGATATCTTAGAGTAAAAGCTGCCCTCGGGGCGATCCTGGAAGGAACCGTGCTACCTACTGCTAGCTCCTTGTTTTATTGTGCAGGTCACAAAAAAGAGGCTCATCTCCGTATTTATAGATCTTGTGGAATGTTACTTGATTGTTAATTGTTTCAGGGGCTCGTTTGCAGAGCTCAGTGAAGCGAAGGGCCGAGCTGTGACTGGGGCCCAGGCTGGGGGATGCTGAGGGCCTTAAGTTACTTTCTTTTCCAAACAATCACCTCTCCTTCCAACCCATCACTGCAGGATTTGCAGTCAGCGAGGGCACAGTCACTTGCTGATGATTCCCTGGCTGTAGCATGGATTGTCTCAGACAGACAGAACTCTAACAGTGATGGGTATGTGGCAATGCTGGAGGGATGCAAGGAGAGAAAGTCACCCCAGTCACTGTCACTTACAGCCATGACAGACATGGCATCAAAATTGCTGCTTAGCCTTAAGATCTTAAATCCAGCACTACGGAGAATACAAATAGCCCCATTGTGTTCAAGCAGTTGTGAGCAGTTCCAGCAGGGTTCAGATCTCTGCAGGAAGGATTCCAGTCAGGGTTAGGAGGCTCAGAGCCACTGGAGGAAGGATGGGAGCCCACATGACTGCTCTGCCATGCACCCACTTCCTCCAAGGGTGGGCACGAGAGGTGAGGCAGTGTGCTGTTACCGCCAGGCAGGCTTCACACTTTGCAGCTCAGCAGCCCTGCAGACAAAATACTGTACATTTTCTGACTCCTGAGCAAGCATCAGCTTCCACCTCATGCTAATAACCTGCCTGCTCCTCCACACAGAGGGCGAGCTGGATGAAGAGCACTGGGGGCTGCACTTTGCTGCCTGTGCTGGCAAGCAGCAGTCTCCCATTGACATCCAGAGGAAGAAGGTGGTGTACAACGTGCAGCTGCTGCAGCTGGAGCTGAGCGGGTACGGCCAGCCACTGCAGGGGGACTTCACCATGACCAACAACGGGCACTCGGGTAAGGCTGCAGGAGCAGGGTCAGTGCTGGAGGACACGCAATGCACAGTTCCCTTCAGCTGCACTTTGCAGGCAGCAGCGGTCCCTGCCCCAGCCCACACACTGCTGCTGTGACCAGGGGGATGCTGGCAGCAAAGCCAAGGCATGCATTTTTGAAATGCAGGTGTTGTTAATGGCAGTTCTGGCCAGAATTCCCAACCTTTGTTTGGGCCTCTGTAAGAGCTCTGAACCTGCTGAGCAGATGCCCTGGGAGAACATCAGACTCACACCATTGCAGGAATAGAATGCTGGGTTTGGCCATTTAAAATGCTGTTCATTTCTGAACTTGCTCTCCTTGGCTCTGCCGTCTCACTTCATCCTGCACTCCAAGCTCTGCTCTTTTCCCCAGTCACACAGGAAACCTTTCCAGAAATGCATCTATAAACCAGAGAAATGAGAGGCAGTGACATCACTGCAAGGTACTGTCTGTTAGACATCAAACAGGGATGGAAGGCAGCTGGAGCACGGCAGATGAGCCCCTTCTTTCAGTGCATTGATGACTGCAGCACTGAAAGGAGCAAATTTGGGGCTTACTGACTCTTCTCCGCATCCACAAAATGCATCCTTTGCCTTTGTGCAGTAGGAAGCAGAAGTGATGGGACAGATCTGCAGCTCAGCAGTGAGCTTGCATCCAACGTTGTGTTCTATATAGTCAGACAGAGCAGTCGCCCTCCCTTTGAGCAACGGTTGGTTTTCAGCCCTCAGGAAGGGAAGGAAGCTGGAGCACAGCCCAGGCTCAGTGCCCTGCCTTTGGTCACGCAGGGCCTCTGAGCAAGGCTTTGCCATTAGGAGATCCTGGATGCTGCCAGAGCCTAATTCATTACCTAAATAATTCATCAGCTGGTGGTAGTGGGATAATGCTTTTGGACTACAGATGAGCAGAGAGAGAAGAACTGGCTAACAACTGCTTCAGGGGGACTGAGCACTTTCATGGCATTTGGAACATGAGGGGCCCAGTCAGTCTCTAATCCTCCCCCCCCCCCAACAGTCCTTTCTTCTCTCTGCTGTGGAGAGAAATCAATAGAGAGGGAGAGCAAGGAGCTGAAGAGATGAGAGATGCTGTCTTCAGAGAGAGACTGCTGTGATCATATTTCTACAGTCTGTCATGAACAGCACTCCTGTTTGTCTCCCACACAAACCCTGCGTTCAGTGAGCTCCCATAGCAGCACTGCCCAACTGCCTGCACACCAGTTCTGCAGCTTTATCATTCACATCTCTGACTGCACGTGTGTGTTTCCCCCATTCTCATGCTAACATCAAAACAGTGATGTGTGGGGCATTCTGATAAAGCACAAGGCAGGTGACAGTCTGTAAGCACAGATACCATTATAGCAGGCTTGGTTTTCCCACTGACTTCAGTGAGGGAAGACAGGACGGCAGTATTCCACAAGGAACTCCTAATGGAAAGCGCTCAGCAGGAATCTAGTGTAAAAAGTAAGGTGTGTGCTTACTCTCCACCACAGATCCCTTGGGATGTCACATGGAAATGCGTTCTCATCTTGTCTGCCTGTCAGTAGCTAACAAACAAATAAGCCTCTAACCCAAGCTGTGAGTAACGATGTGCTCTTCAGCAAGGAGAGCTGCTATTTTATAACGTGCTCTGGGCTATCGCCCGGATCAGGCAATTCTCCACTTGCAGCATTCAGTTCGGCATGTTTAGCACCACAATATATGATTTGTGGCAGCACACCAGCAGAAAACCAATTTTTTGTAGTCCCGTGGTGAATACCCTTCATAAAGAAACAAAGAGCTCTGCCTGCTCAGGCTCATGGGGCTCTGGCCCCACACGGCTGTCCCAAGGAGATGCACGTCCCAGAGCATGGAAAGTGATGGTGACAGGTTAGGTAAGGCCAGTCTCTTGGCTGATTTCTTACTCCTCTGTTCTGCCTGGGAATAAAGACATTAATGAATGCATGCAGAGCTCAGCAAGATGTGATGTACTATGCCAAGAACAAACATTAAAGCATTTTTATTGGTGCCTGAGAAAAAAAAATAAAATACGCAGCTGCCCAGCTGGGAAAAACCCTGCAGACACAGCTAGCAGAACCAGCTCCACACTTATGGCCATCTCCAATCCTGTTTTTCAGTCCAGATTGATTTGCCACCCACCCTGTCCATCTCCCGTGGGCTCCCGCGCCCCTACACCGCAGTGCAGATGCACCTGCACTGGGGAGGCCTGGACCTGGAGACCAGCGGCTCCGAGCACACGCTGGATGGGATGAGATACGTGGCAGAGGTACCTGCAAAGGAGGCTGGAGGGATGGGGCCAGGGAGGTTGGGATATAGTCCTTGAAGGTGATGAGGATGAGGCAATCTTTTGTCACCTCTTGCTCCACGGCCCTGTCTCTCTCCTGGCAGCTGCACATCGTCCATTACAACTCTGCAGACTACTCAAGCTTTGAAGAAGCCAAAGACAAACCCAATGGACTGGCGGTGCTTGCCTTCTTGTATGTGGTAGGTTTGACCCATGGGAAGCTGAGCAATGACAGCCCATGGTCACTATTCATCCCACACTGGGAATGGTCCAGCTGCCTGTGGTAGGGCTGCATGCCTGGCCTACAAGAGATTGAGGCTGAGCAGTGCTACTGAAGACCGGGCAGCTCAGCAACCTTTCAACTCTCTGTGCTGTGTTTAGGAAGGACACCTGGAGAATACCTACTACAGTGAATTCATTTCCAAATTGGCAAAAATCAGGTTTGCAGGTAAGAGCTGGGTTGCCCTTCTCCATCCTCGATGCTCTTTAAGCCTCTACATACGTACTGGGGCAAAGCCCTGCTGCTGGCTTTGCTCACAGCTAATACTGCTTCTGTTTCCTTTTGAGGTCAGTCAACCAAGCTTACCTCTCTGGATGTCCAAGCCATGCTGCCAGAAAACCTCTCACACTTCTACAGGTACCAGGGCTCGCTCACAACCCCACCCTGCTCTGAGAGTGTCACCTGGACCATTTTTGACTCTCCTATCATCCTGTCACATGCACAGGTACCTGGGGGCTGCTCAGCAGCACAGCAGTTTCTCTTTCCTCCACACTTTTCTTCCATACCAGTTTCATTCTCCATTCTCCAGTGACCTAAAAGAAGAGCCTGCAGAACTACTGGGATGTCTTTCATAGGGCCTTACGGATAGACTCAAAAGCAACTGGAATGACTGGTGTGGCTGTTAGACCTGAGGTCTGCTGAGCAATAACAAGGCTCTGCTCAGCTGTTCAGCCATGATGAAGTACTAAAGGGACCAGCCAGAGTCAACAAGGTGAAAAGTACTACAAAAGAGGGAGAGAAGGAAAAAAAAAAATCATAGATGAGGCCATTCAGGGCATTAAAATAATTGCAGAACACTTGGCACAATTCTAGAGAAGTGTTTCTTTTCTCTTTGCATTTTGGCTATGCAGTGGGGGGTTGAGTTATTGCTGAGGACCTCGTTGTGTGCAGGTCCCTGTGCTCAGAGCCAGCAGCTGGATGCTGCTGCACGGCAGGATGCCCAGCTCTGCCCTCCCTCTGCCTTGTCAGCACAAAGGCTTTGGCAGAGAACAAATAGCAGCAGTAAAGTGAGCTTACGGGTGAGTCTTGCAGAGCAGTTCATCTTTTGTAATGAAAAAAAAAGCATCAAACTGTTTCCAGGAGAACAAGGTCAAGTGGAGATGACAGCAGTGGAGGATAACAGTGTGTTTGTGTTTAAAAATGAAATACTTTGTGGTGGGGAAGGCATTAGTGGGCACTCATAATTAGGCAGTATACCACAGAATAATTTCATCCATGCATAACACTTAGAATTACTTCCTTCAGGGAAAACACCTTCATCAGCACCACTTTGCTGATTAGAGCACTGACTGCCATTCCCTTCCCTTGTCAATGCTCGGGGAGAGACCTCTCACAGATGACTGTTTAACCCCCAGCTGCAGGACCTACCCTGCACTTCTAGGCTAACCTCTCGGTCCCTCTGCCCTTATAACAAGGCTGCCCTGCCCCCAGATCAGCCTGCTGGAGAACACCTTGCTGGACTGGCACAACAGGACGCTGCGCAACGACTACCGGCACGCACAGCCCCTGCACGGCCGCGTGGTGGAGGCCTCCTTCCAAGCCAGGCCCAGACAAGGTATGAGGCAGAAAGGAGCTGGGCTGCAAACCGTTTCAATTAGGTAAAACTGTGACTGCAGTCCCCAAGAACAGCTGTGTCCCTGCCGTGCATCTTGCTTCTGATGGTGTGGCAGCAGCCGCAGGTCGGGTGGCAGCGCTCTGCTTTGGTGCGCTGGAAGTGTCGCACAGCCCAGGATTGGTGTTGCTCTGTGACTTCACACAGTACGTTGTGTGCCTGCCTCTGCATGGGTGAAGCACACGAACCGGTGTACAAACAGCTCTGCCATGGCTAACGAGCCAAGTGCTGTAATTAGGGCAATGCACTGCATTTTAAAGCAAAGGTTTCCTCCATACCTCCTGCAAACTGGCAAGCAGAATTACCACGCATAGCTCCTGGCTCTCAGAAAGCCCCCATCTGTCTGATTGCTCTAGAACAATGCCAGCCAGAAGAACTCAGCCTCAAACTGGAACAAATCCACACACAGCTCCGAGACATGAAGAAAGAGTTCCTGAATGGAGTGAGCCACACAGGTAAGAACACTCTGTTTCTAAGTCCAGCTTTCCTTCCAAGGATGGCCCAGGCCTGCTGTTCTTGATGGCCTACATCATCAACAGGTTTGGTACCGATGCGTGCAGGTAGAATCTTGTTCCATGCCTAGGCCAACTGGAAGACTTCCATGAGCTACAGCATCACTAAACCCAGCCCAAATCTAGCACCTCTCCCAGCAACTGCAGCTTGTCCTGCAACGTGTAAGCACAGGTTTACAAACAGGGAGGCATTAAAGCTCACTGTTCCCCGAGGATAAATACTCATTACCTTCATTTTACTGAGACGGGAACAAAGGAAGGAAGGGGAAAAAAAGGATTTTTCCCCAAAGAGTTGGGTGAGGGAGCCAAGCCAATAACCATGGCTGAGGCAGCCCCTGCGGGTATTCTGTATTCTGTAGGAGCTGGGCTTATCTGCAAGCACCAGAGAAGAACTGAGCTGGCTTCTCAAACATTTCAGGTATTACATCCAGCACTTTCCCAGCTTTCTACTTCCCCATGGAAAACATTGAGAGCTTTGTGGAGGTTCGTCCCAGCCATGAGATGTCTCTCCAAGCCTTCACCCTGTGCTTCTGGACACAAGCCCAGCATGTGGGCACTCAGACTGTTCTCTCCTACTCCACACGGGAGAGGGACAACGAGCTGGTGATGACCACAGGCACAGACGTGGGATTGTGGATAGGAGGCCATTTTGTCAGATTCCCCCTCTACCACAAGGCACAGGACTGGCTGCATTACTGCATGGCGTGGGCTTCCCAGTCTGGAATAGCAAGTCTGTGGCTCAATGGAGCTGCTGGTGATGCAAAGAGCATCCAGAAAGGCTATGTGAGCCAGGCTGGAGGGATGCTTGTCCTTGGGAAGGACAGGGACACTCTTCTTGGGACATTCTCCAATGGGTTTGCAGGGTGGATGACACATGTGAACCTGTGGAGCCAAGTCCTCAGCCCTGCAGACATTCGGTCACTTGCACAGTGCAAAGCAGGAAAGCTGAAGGGAGATGTCATTGCATGGGGGGAAACCCCCATGACCCTCTTTGGGGGGGTGGTGCTGGAGGCTGACACCAGCTGTCAGTGACCCCAGTATATATATATTTTAAGCAGCTGAAGAACCCAAACTTCTTGCTGAAGAAACTGAGGATGGAAACCTTGCTCCATCTGCTTGTTTTAGGTTAATTGCCTGTTTCCTCATTTACTTTGTATACGGTCACTAGGCACCTGCTTAGTGCTCCCGGTTGTTTTCCAAGCAGGTATGAGGTGACACAGCCTCCACTGGTCAGTGGGACAGAGGCAAAGAACGAAGCACAGTTCACCACCTTGTATCTGCACATCCCTCCCACTACTAGGTTAAGATTTCCACCCACGGACCTTCCTTTTTTATCCCTCATGCCACTCTCTTTGGTTAGAGGAACAGCTCTCTCAAGCCAAACTTTTCTCACTTCCCACATCCCATCTCCATTCTCAGTGCCTTTCCTGCACCATGCTTTATTTCCATTTATCACCAAGTCACTGCTGCTGCAGGGGTATCACGTAAGAAGGTGTACGCAAAGGGCGGTGCGGCTCCCACACAGTCACTTGATGACAAGTCTTTGCTGTCAGTGGATGGAGACAGAGCATGGGAGCAGCTTCATTTCCAACAGGTGCACATCACAAGACAAGATTGAGGGTCTGCGTGAAGCTCATCTCCTAAGTTGAAGTACATCACACAAAGGGCTATCACCAAAGTCCATGCCAGGCTGTTGAACCATTCTGCTTCTTTCCCCCAACAGAGAGCAGCAACATTGCACAATTAACTCTATTTCCACATGTTAAATAATTGAGTTAGCCCTATAATCCTTCACACTAATAAATACTTTAATAAATCCTCCATTTATCAGTGTGCATTTTTATTTCCCTGGTGAGTCAGATCTAGTTCTTCAGTCTTGGCTCCTCCAAACCGGTTCAGCCTTCAGGTGGAGCTGTGCCCTTAGGGACACAACCAGAAGGAACCACTCAAGGACCAACCTTTAGACCAGCTGAGAACTTTTTCAAGAAACCAGGTCCCTGAGAAATTAATTCTTTGGAAAACTATTCCTAGTGTCTCACACCAAGGTGCTTAAAGGCGGATCTGAACATGCTTGGAAACACGGCCACTGCACAGGATTCTGCCCAAACCTGACCTCAGCACGCAGCAAGTTCACACATCTCTGGGAATGAATGATCTCCACCTGGCTCATATGCACTGAGTGTACCTCTGGGGGCTATTAAAGGATTAGGAGAGCGGCTAAAACTCTTTGGCAGCTTCTGCGTGAGCACTAAGGAACAAAAGGAGCTATTTCCAAAGACTGGAGTGCCACAGGAACAACTGTGTATCAGCAGCCCATGAATAAGCACAGGGCCAATGGAACACTCCTAAGCTCAAGAATAAGGCTCTGGAAGGACTCACCAGCAACTGTTAGCTTTCCAGGAGTCCATCTGATGAGCAGGGTGGGAGTGAGATTAAAGTCACGTGCATTTCCAGTCTTATGGTCCTCCGTACAGGTGACAGGATACATGCCTCTAGGAACACATCTATCAGAGCACCTTGGTGCATCTGACACACTCTCCACACAGAACACCAAGCACCAAAGGCCTGCCCTCACACATGTTGGACCTTCAAATTCACGTTCAAGGAATGGTCAAGGAGTACAATGCACTCCTTGCACACGACTGACCAAAACCCAGCCCAGGTGCTGTTCCGTGTCACCTGAGATGGTTCACTCAGGACATAAGGGGCACACACCACACTGTGACATCAGTTCCCTGATCACAGGAACTGAGCTGACGGCAGGCATTGCCCCTTCCTAGTGACAAATACAAGGAATGGGAAATCTGCCACTGAAGTCACCATGCCACAAAACAGAGTGGTCCTACTAATTACTCAGAATGAGAACAACCTTAAGACAGAATAAAGGCTTATTTGAAAACTTCTGTGGGAGTTGTGCAGAAAGTCCGAATGAAGGTCAGAATTGAGCCATATTCTTCCACTGAATAGATCCTGGAAAACACCTGGGCCAGGCGAAGCACTGGGTTGTGTCACAGATCACTGCCCAAAACTTCTGGCTTGTCTGCCTTCACACTTGGAACAGTCTGCAAATCCATCATCTGTTCTACATCTGTCTGAATCTCCACCTTGTTCCTCTTGGCCATGATTCTGTTAATTTCCATGAAGGTTTTGTTCTTCGTCTCAGGTACAACGAAGAAGATGTAGATCATGGTGGCGAGGCATATACCACAGAAGATGAGGAAGCTGAAGGCTCCTAGTCCAGCCTGACAATGAAAGATGACAGGGCAAGAATCAGGGCAGTACTCCAATTGTGGTCAGTACACGTTTGGGCATGCTGAATCCTGCAATAGCTATTCATGCAGCCACAGTAACATTCCTTCAAGTGGAACAACTCAAAGCTAGTGGTGGTTCAGGATCCTGTCTTCTGATACCACCAAGATGGATTTATTGGAAACCACCATGGATTTACTGAAAAAGATGCCTAAGGGTGAGGGGCCTCTTACACAAGTTCAAGTGAATTCACCAATTCCCCTTGCACAGGCTAAAATCAGTCATTATAGCAATTTATGGGTCACTTCTACTAGGATCAGTGCAAACTGGTGACCCAGAGATCACTAATTTTGAGCTAAAGCCATGTGCCATCCCCTGCTCACACCTTACCTCCATGTAGAGGAACACGAGTCCCACAGTGAAGTTGCAGAGCCAGTGCACAGAGCCACCCACCATGAAGGCAGCAGGCCGGGACGACTGCAGGAACATCTCAGTGATCATCACAAAGGGGATTGGACCTGGAAGAATTGTATGCATGGAAATTCCAAAGGCATTCCTAAAGATGCAGGCACACAGCATCCACAGCCCAGCTGGTAGGTCTCACCAATCTCAACACAGCTTTGCTTGAGATCTCACTGGACATCTCAGTACAAACTCAGCTGTGCCTTGGCTTTTCCTTTTGAAAGCCAGATGCTCCCCTGCCTCATGGGCACAGGAGCACCAATCTAGCTGACAATCAGCCAGGTGCATGGCTGCACAGGAGGAATTTGACCTCCTTAGATCAGCCCCACAGAGCTCTTAGTTTGATGCTTAGTGTAATGCCTGCCTTTACCCAACCTGCGGAGGGGACTGGGCTAACTTGTGCATACTCACTGGCTCCAATAGCATGTCCAATGATGTAAATGATGACACACACTATGCTGAGGTAAGACATCCACGAGACAGTATTCTGTGAAGAATATAATCAGGAGTAAAGAGTTGGTTCTCAGCTCAAAGTCACCAACACATTCAAGGCATTAATTGAAACAAGATTTGGGGGTGTTCAGAAGTCATCCCCTGTTGCCAGCTATGCCCAAGCTGACATGCCAAGCTGTTGAGCTCATGCTCTGTGTACCACCTTTGCTTCCAGCTACAGGATGCAACAGGCACGAACACAATAGGCAGGGAGAAGCATTCACATAGCAGCATCATGACCCTGCCTGGGTTCACTTTGGATAGATATGCAGGTACTGAGAGACCTCCCACACCAACTCCAAAATACACCAGGAGCACCAGGGTGATGCAGCTACAAACCTGGAGGTTTAGGGCCAAAGTCAACACTGCACAGGAGCCGCAGCACAACCCAAAGCCAGCAAGCAGCAGGATTCTCCTTCCCAAGGACTCCACAATGAAAACCTGAAAGAGACAGAAGAGGGTAAGAGATCAAACAATCAAAGCACAGAGCTTTATTCTACCCAATTTTATTAAAGTAATATTTGGCTATTAAGAAATGCAGTGAAATTTCCCCCATTTGCTAATGTATTGTGAGTAAGAAGTCACCCAGGAACTGCAAAAAGCCAGGCATGCCCTCTTTTGGTACCCAGCTCCAGAGAGCTGTAGGGGAGCATTGCATGGCAAGAGGAGGGCAGAGCAGCCTGGAAACCAAACATCCAAAATCACTGAGGCTGAGAGAGCCCCAACAGAAACTTACAGCAAGGAAAGTCATGAGAACGTTGATGGCACCTATGGACACAGTGACATACTGAACGTTGTTGGCCTCCACACCTGCCGACAGGAAGATTCTGTCCGCATAGTAGAAGACCTGCAGCAAAAGCAATTGTGTTTAAATGTGGCCAGCAGCAGAGCACAGGAATCCTACTCTGCTTGTTTCTACAACCCTAGAAGTGGGACACAGGAATTCAAAAACTATTTCAGTACTGGAGATGTGGGTGTTAAGATCCAGACATGAGCATCTCACTCCAAAAACATCCCAACTACCCTTACAGGACAGCTGGACTCAGAACCACGTGCATACTCAGTTTGGTACAGGTTAGGCTGATTCCCCCATAACATCACCAGTGTCCCTGGTGAAAGGACTACTCCTGTCTCCTAGTTTCCAGCTCCTACACCAGTGCTGCCCCACACTGAGTCCCACCCCGCTGTTACTCACTCCATTGACCCCTGAAAGCTGCTGTCCCATCATCATGACAACAATAGAGATGAGCTGCCAGCGCAGGCCTCTGAAGGTGCACAGGGTGAGCACAGAGAGGTGTCCCTCTTCCTTTTCTGACTTGTCTTCTTGGCGCATTTCTTCTATCTCATCATCCACATCATCCCAGCCTCTCAAACGCTGCAGAGCTGGTTGGGAGAGGAAGATGAGCTACAGAGCCCAGGAAGCTCTCCTGCTTTACATCAAGACATTACAACATTCAAAGCCAAGGCAGTAGTACTGCTCACAGGATGGGAAGTCGGGAATTCATGGAAGCAAAGGAGCAATGCTGCAAAAAGCCAACCACCAACAACACGTCAACTAATGATTTCATGCAACAGAAGATGCCATACCTTGTCGTGCTTGATCCTCATTGCCCTTCTGTATCAGCAGATATCTGGGACTTTCAGGAAAAAAGGGCAATGTAAGGAGCTGTAATGCTGATGGGATCCCAGTGAGCCCCAGGAGCAAGGGCCAGCCTGCAGCAAACAAGACAAGATGATGACTGGGAGAGATTTCCCTCCACGGAGCTGACAGAGAATTTCCTGAGCCAAAGCTTTACCTTCAGCATGCCCAAGAATGCTGGTAAGACCAAGGATCTGAGCTACGAGGATCCCGAGGGTGATGAAGAGCTGGGGTACTATCCCAATAGCACCTCTGAGATTTCTGGGGGACATTTCTCCCAGGAACATGGGAACCACGTTGGAGGCCAGACCTGGTAGGGATAGAACAAGGTCAGTCCTGCAGCTGCCTGACATCAGCACATTCACATCTGCAGTAAGATGCTTTTTTTCCCTCATGTGTGAGACCAAAGTGATCCCTGCTAGACCACAGGACACATGCAAGCTTCACACTTGAGCTCTTTTGCTCTGGCTGAAGATTTAATGTTATCTATATCCAGCAAAGAAGCTGTGTACTATGGCTCTTTTTCTCTCTCTTCAGTGGGGTGTTTGGAAAGCAAATTGAAAGGTAGAAGAGGAATTTCTGCTTTCTTCAGGGGCACAGTACTGTTCGCTGCAGCAGCCCTGAAAGCTGCCAGTTCCCATACTTATGCTGTAAATCTTGGCATGCAAAACCCAAACTCTAGAAGTCAAATGACCAAACAACTCTTATCTTACATTGGTAACTAAGTTCCCAGCCATCAAGTGCTAGGGGTTATAAAAGAGTTCAAGACATTATCTGAAGGCCAAAAGGCATAGAAACAAAACGTTAACACAACTGGAAAACATTATAAAATAAATTCATGAGGTGTAGTGCTTAATGTTGACACTACAACAAACCTTCTAATTGCCCTCATAAAAAAAAGTGCTAACGGTGACTTGTAGACCGGTGCCTCCAATTAACAGTGGCTAATTGCTCAGAATTATGCTGATGAACGCCCACCACAGAAGGGCCTTGGTGTTCCTCCCAGCTGCAAGGCCTCCCTTTTGCGAGGAGGAACCACGCCAGGATTCTAAAGGAGCCCCAGGCTGGCTTGATTCAGCAGCCTCCCTTCCCCAGAGGCAGGGCTCAGGCAGCCCTGATTCTTCTGTCAGTTATCCATAATTGAAACTATTTGGAGGGATCTCTCCTACCAGCTCCACGTGTAGTCAGAGAAGCAATGCTAAGAGCAGCTGCTGGGCTTAAGAGAGCAAAAAGTCAAAACAAAACAGACTAGACATGTTTCCTGCCTTAGATCAACAACTGCAACTGGAGCATGTTATAGATGGCGTTGTTTTCCTGTGCCAGTTTGTTTTCTCAGATACCCAAACTCACTAACAAACTACACAGCATATCAGTCTTGCTAAGCCAAAGCCAATTAATTAAATCTGAGTAGTGTCAGGACCCTCATCAGTGTGGCTTGGCAGGAGCTCAGAGCAGCAGAGGGTGTCCAGCCATCCCATGCCTGTCAGGTGTCTGTTACTGCAGCTCCAGCACAGCCACCAAACCAACTCACACTCTGCCCCTTAGCTCCCCACTGGCCTTGCAGTAAATCTAGTGACCCTGCAACCTTTACTTTCATGTTTTTTCACCCCTGCAGGAAGAACAACCATTTCCAGGAGTGGATTACTGGATCTGGCATTCTATTCAATGACTTGAGCTTGGAAGGACTTTTCTGTTTTTTATTATGTTTAAAAACAGCCCATCTGCTCTAAGACACCTGGGAAAACAGATGACCATCGGCAAGTTTCCAGGCTGACGGCACTTGTGCTGAGCAGATGCTGACTGCAGAGGGCAGCTGCAGCCACAGACATCTCAGTACAGCCCACAGCCCAGCCTTACTGCCACTGTCTGCCAGAGATCTGATACTTCTGCAACACGCAGAGGAGGACTGCTATTCAAGCAAGCACAGAACTGCTATGCAGGTATTTGGCTAAAATATGCCACCTGTGAAACCACCTGTTGTGCAAAGACCTTTCCATTTCATTAGGTTTACTGCTCTTCCTTTAGCATCCAACCTCTCACTCACCAGCATATATCCCCATGATAACACGGGATACAATGATTACTTCAAAGGTTTTTGCTATCTCTGAGGTTCCCATAAGAACTGCAGCAACAATGGAGAAGAGGTTGTTTATCAGCAAGGTGCCTTTTCTGCAAAGCAACAGAGAGACAGAATCAGTTTAGTCTTCTAAGACTTCTCTAGCAGACAGACCCTCCATTGTGTTACGCTGTTCAAAACCCAGAGGAGCTGCCATCCCAAAGACTAGCCAAAAGAAAACAGCTGTTTTCCTGTTTTTCCGTGCAGGCAATGGAGAAAGTTCAGGATACGTGAGCAGCTGAGACCTGCATGCAGCTCCCAGGACTTTCACCACTGCTGCCCACCTGGCTCAGAGCCCAGCGCACAGCCTGGCCTTGACCAGACTGGAATCAAATAAATTCTCCTACACGTGAGAGACACCACATTCCCAAGTCCAGCACTGGGCTGACTGCTTTAGGATTGAGGCGGTGCGATGCTGCAGAGCTTGGTGAGCAGGAGCAACCGGTGAGGGCAGCCTTATCTGAGCCACACCGCTGTCACGTACCGGCCACAGTTGTTGACCAGAGGTCCCACTATGAGCGACCCAAAGAAGCCACCCAGGGGATACATGGACACAGTGAGGGACCACAGCAGTGTCTGGAAGCTCTCGTCCATGGAGACTCCATGCCTGTTGATGTAGGTTTGGTTGTAGAAGTCTTGCATGTACTGGAATGAAATACGGAGCGTGTTTAGCAGCAAGCAGAACTTCTGTATTGTAAAAGCTAATTAATAATCAATGCCATAAAACTTTAAACAAGTGTTTGATAAGACCAGAACAGCCAAGTCAGAAAAAGAATGCAAGGGAGAGCAGGAGAAGCCTTGCCTTATGCAAGTCATCCTGCCTTATTGGATTTGAAACAAATCATCCTGCCTTATCGGATCTGCCTGCTTCTCAGGAGGGAAGGCATTCCCCACACCCCATCGCTGCTGGGCACAAAGCCACCACACAGCCTCAGCACAGCCCCTGTCCTCTGCCAGGGACCATTGCTCCCCAGTGCTCAGTGATCCCACACGTGGAGCAGCACGAGGAGCTCAGACACCTGCCCTGGCACCTGTAATCGAGCTCCTCCTCCACCCTGTGCTATTGAACCTCCTCCTTCATCGCCATCCACATCCCAACCTACCGGGGCTGGAGAGTTGATCACGGACACGTTGTAGCCATACTGGAAGGATGATCCAAAGGCAGAGATGAGCGTTACCAGCGCAAGTGGAACTGTCAGTCTCTGCAGAGGGAAAACACAAGCACTTCAGAATCAGGTTTGGCTTTCAAGCATAAATGGCATTGTGTAAAAACACAGAAATACCTTTTGCTTCACCAGTCGTATTTTTGGCTTTGTGTTACCCTACAAAGAAAGCCCAATTGGTTGCTTTCATCCTAACTCCCTTTGTTCTGCTTGATTTGCAGACAGTCATTACAGTAATTCATTCTACTCTTTCCCGTATTGATGGATCATTTGGATGATGAACAATTTTCAAGTTATTACACTTACAATACCACCCTGCAGTGAGAAAGGAATTGCATGCAATTATTCTTTTTCCAACATGCAAGTTATCGATGCAATAAAGCAGAATGCTGCTGGAGGAGAGCTTTAAGAAGACAAGGTTCTAGGTGAAGCAGCAAGCCCCTTTCCTGCCCACTGTCCTCACCACAATTATATCAACACACCACAGAGGCTTTCTGCAAACATTCAGCCACTGTTCCAGCCTCAGCCCACAGCCAGCCCTGCTTTGTTGACTGAGCTGTCTTTTTTCTTTTTAATGTAGCTCACTAATACATCTCAAAGCCACTGCTGCAATAAAACCACTTTCCATTTCCACTTTTCATTCGTACCATTTTCTTATCCTTTCACTATCCTTAACGCCTGCAAGTTTTGCACATCCCAGCACACAGCTCAGGTCCCACATGGAGGAACTGACATGGCCCTCACTGAACATTTGCCCTAACAGTGCTGGTGCTCATTGCCCTCCAGCTCTTCAGCAGCTCCTGCAGAGCTCTGCACTCTCAGGGGCTGCAGGAGGTGGAAAAGCCAATCGATCTGCAGCAGGAGAAAGCAGAGCCTTCCAGCACTGCTTTCTAACAGTAGACTGTTGACACACTTGCAGTGGTGATGAAAAGCAGGCTGCTTTGCTGGCGTTAAGCAAATCCCCAAAGCTCAGAAGAGCCGCTGGTGTTAATTATATAAACACACCACTTTTAGGAAAACCTTTGGCACACAGGAGCAACGCGTTGTGCAAGAACCCACAAATGCTGCTTTGCAAGGCAGCCCTCATCCAGAAACTTCTGCAGCCTTTTTAGGATTAGGAAGCAGGATAGAAAACACACAGACAAGAAGGGGAGTTTCACAGAGCTGCCTGGTAGGTCAGATGCACAGAGCAAACTGGGAGACTCAGTGCAAAGCTGTGCTGCAGACAAACCGGGTTCAAAAACATACAAATCTCTGCTCTCCCTCTCTGCGGATGCCCAACGAGGAGATCTTGGTCCCCTTCCACTACAAACCTGCACAGCCCAAAGCTCACTCAGCACCCACAGGAGCCAGAGCTGAGAACAGCCTGCATGCTTACCCCCTTCCTGCCTTCCTCCACGCTGGAGCTCTCCTGCTTCTCTCCGTTCATCTCTATTTTGGTGTTTGAATTGCAGATGCTGAGTCCAGACTTTTATAGCCTAAACAGACGACACAGGGGATGGAAACACCCTCCTTGGAAAGGAAACCCGCCCCATGACGTTGAAGGAAGTGCCCAATCGATGGCCAGCTCTGTCTGCCAAAGTCAGTAGATGTTTGTTGGGTCATTTCCCAGTCCCGTGTGTCTTCTCCTGCACATCTCCTCTCCCTTTTTCTTGCCGAATGTCACCAATGTCAGATGTTCTTGGGCCAGATCCAGACTCAAAGCAGAGCCAGCTGTAGGGGAAGCAGCCTCATCTGCTCCAGGAGGAGGGTGGACTTCTGGCCAAGGCTTCCAGAGGTGCCGTTCCCCAGCGCTAGCGTGCACAGCAAACTGACAGCAGGAGATCTGTTGTTCACTGCAGCCACTGCCTGGCAACCGTGTTCCAGCAAAAATAGAACATTCCATGGAACCTCACAGAGGGCTTTTGCCATGGGTCAGTGATAACCCTGAGCTGCACTAACCCTGCAGCCAGGTTGCACACCTCTACCTCCCGGCAGAAATACCACACCTGGTCTCACCCTGCAGAGCAGCTGGCTCTTGGCACAGCTGCAGACTGCAGGTTCCTCCTTCTTGGGTTTGTTCTTGTCAATGCACAGAACATGCTGCTTTTTACATTAAAGCATAGCGGTTGCTTTCCTGCTCTGTGCAAGGTGCACCATGCTGCTGGCACAGCATTAGCCTCCTACACGAGGAGACTACCTACAGCAGTCCAAGACTTAGTTAACCATTAACTACAACTCTTAAGAGTTCATCAGCACAATACAAAGTTCACAGATACCCCTGGCAGCCAGAGTAACTAAAACCAAACCACATTATTGGCCCTGCTCTCTTTAACACTCAGTTAAAGAAACGCCAATCTCGAGCCAGACATGCTTCATGCGTCCTGCATGCATTCCTCAGCTGGCTGCAGCATCCCCACCTGATGAAGGCATCAGGTATCAGCATATTTCCTTTGTCCTTGATTACCTTTTTGCACCCATGAGTAATATTACTGGATAGATATTTTAAAGGGCAAAGAACACGCAGTAGAAATAGTGAGGGCTCAGCAGGAGCAAAGCCAGGCACTGCTTCCTATAGGTGTACTTGCCAAAGCTGCTTATGTAAACGTTCAGTCGGCAGTAGGAAGTGATACATGTGGCCTTGTATTTGCAGGGCAGGGTGGACTAACTGGCTGTCAGCTCTTACTGTAAGCAAAGCTTAGAAACTGGCAAGACTCTAAAAATAAAAAGGGGAACAGAGCCCCTCTGCTTCAGGGCAGGGAACACAGTTCCAAGACTTCTGCTATTCATCCCTTCCTCGACCTGTAGTAATACAATGACCTCCACAATGCTGTTTGGTCAGATTTTGTGACAAGTCATAGAATCATAGAATAACACAGGTTGGAAGGGACTCACAAAAGCCAAGTCAATAATCTTCTTATGGAAACTGTCCTCGGTGGCTCACATCAAGAACAGTCCTGGATCCTTCAGAATCCTGCTCCATGCTCCCACATATCTATCCCTTGGGGTTTTAGCTGCACAGAGATGCAAAGGATATCCATTGCACCAACAACTCTCACCCAGCCTCAGTGTTCCCACTGGGGATCTGCAGACAGCAATACTGAAGGAGCTATTACCATCCTGCCTTCGAACACTGTTCAAAGAGTCCCAAAATAAATGGGCCAGCTTACAGCAGCTATTGTAGTTCTCACTTTCATAGATCTTTAGTTAGAAGAAGGCAATGACATGTGAGTTATTCTGCCTCAAGGGTGGTGAATTTGCAAGGAGGACAAACCTCTCACAAAAAATCCCTGCCCTTTGAAGAGTGCCGTTCTTCCGGGAGCTCTGGGCAGGCTGACAGCTACTCCAACATTTGGTAATTGTGAAACAGAAGACTTTTCTGTCATGGTTTTTAAACTCTTTCCCTGAGCTTAAAGAAATAACCTTGACATAGATGGAAATAAAAAAGAAGATGCATTTGCCATCAGAAGTCCTTCATCAGAGCATAAATATTTGCTTATGACAGCAGAATGCTTTGAGTATTTGCCAATCACAGTGAGAGCCAGGCAGCATCATCCCTAAGGTGCCCATCAGCATCAAGCCTGGGAGATGTCAATAAAGGGAGACAAGATGGGGAGCAAATCTCCTTGAACCTTCACAGTAATTGCAGGGCAATAACTGCTGCCTCCAACTGCTCAGATTGTTGGACTTGAGCAAAGAGCAGAGCCAGCACCAAGAGAGCCAACTTCATAGGAATTTTACTATCACGTTTCTCTCAGCAAATCACCTGCCAGGCAGTGGCTGCCAGAACACAGTGCGTTTGCCTGAAGGCATTAACCCAGCACTGCTATTTTCTCTCCTCTGCACTTGTCCACTGCATCCTCAGAGCTCCCACGCCAGCATGCAGGAACTGTTCACACCCAGCTCACAGCCAAACCCTACAACATCCTGTTATCTCTGCCAAAAGGGGAGCAAATATAATTAAAAGATGAGGCTTACCTGCCAGGAGAGTCAATCTGCTGACAACATATGCAGTTAAGAACAGCAGCAGCAAGCCGTGGAAAAGCTGCCATTAGGCTGGGAGCTGCAGTGCCTGGGGTAAGGAGTCTCATTAGGAGGCACTCCAACAGCACAGCCTGTCCATGAGTGACACGGGCAGCTCTTTCACTCACAGTTTGGGAAGGAACTGTACGTATAGAAGGGGAAAGGCAACACCACACGTAGTCTCGAGCTACAGCTGGAGCCACAAAGTGAGACATAATTTAGCAAACAAGTTATTTACCTGCAAACAAGTCACATACAGATACTGCTTTATTAGCTGTGTAGTGGCTTCTGGACAGGTAAGCAAGACGTAGACATGGCGATCTGAACATCTATCAACAGTAAAAGCAGATCCTGGATAAAACAGGCCCATTTTGCAGATAATAGCAGCACACAAGAAGTTCTGCAACTAGGAGGCAAGCAAGACCCTACCATGGCTGCACAAAGGCAATACTGGGAGGCATCCTGCCAGCTTTCTTCCTTTTCCACAGCAACTGTCAGATAACCTCAGAAGAGCCTCAGCCACACACACATCCCCCAGACAAGAACGGAGGGGCAGGCAGATCTGTGAACTTACTGGATTAGGCCCTGATAGCTTGCTCTGAGAACTGCCCAGTCCTTTCTCCACTGGCATGATTGCCTGCTGAAGCAGATGTTTCAGAAAGTGTTGGAATGCTTGCATATTAAAGCTCCATCTGCTCTTCGTTCAGCAGAAGCACCTGACTGCCCAAATGCCCACGGTGCCCTCTTGAACTTCAGTGGGTTTGCATTTCTGTGCAGGACAGAAGCACGGTTGTGCCAGCCAAGACTTGCCTTTTGCCACCTCATGCCACTGCATTCAATTCTATGGCTCCCTGCAGGTTTGCATGGATGAGTTTTTATCCTCTCCTTACAATCACCCCAAGTCATCTTCATCTTTTGCCTGTTGCCTTCCAGCTCCTTTTGTTTAACAAGCTCTGTTCTCTGCAGCCCTTTCCTTCCTTCTCCTCACCAGGCTCCACTCCTCCAGTCCATAGCAGGCAGACAACACACTCCACACCTACAGCTCTTTCCATCTTGAGATCTTCAAAGCCATTCTGCAAACTTCTAAGACCCCCAGAAGAGCTGGTGGAAGCCAGCATGCAGCTCCTGCCCTGCATTCTAACACCAAGGCCAGGTCTCTGCATTGGAGCAGCTGAGCAGAGGAGCTCCAAGGGGCAAAGTCACAGCAGTATTTAGGATAAATTAACTAAAAGACAACCCTTGAAGTGCAAACTAACATTTTTTTCAAAGGCTTGTAGACACAAGGCAGAGCGCTGTCAGCAAATCCCCCTGACAGAGCAGCCAAAATACTGCAAGGAGCTGCCTATCACTTCTAACACTGCAGAATAAACAAGCTTCCCTCTGCTTGCTCTCTGCAGCATCTGGACTCATTTCCTCGCCGGCCCTGCAGCAGGCCTCTAGCAGAGAACATTTATGGATCAATTTGGGGTACAATTCTAAGCCACAGAAAAGCAAGTATCTCAGATGGGAAGCATTGTGCAACCCTAGAAACAGACACAGTTGCTCAATCAGTTGTAAAAATAGTCATAGGCTTGCACCACTGCTTGCACTGGGGCTCAGCTCCTCCCAGTCCTGTGAGATGGATGAAGTTTTCAGCCAAGAAAAGCTCTGTCACTGCTTGGAGTGCATACAACTTACACAGCATTGCTCAGCTGACAGCCTGCCCCTTTTTTTTTCGTAAAAATCTGAATTTCTCTATTTGGGCAAGGCCTGGGAAAGCTCCAGCTCTCACCAGCATTAGCCCCACACACTTTACAGCATAGCCTCACATGGAGGAAATTCAATTTGTATTTTCATGATTAGATAATGTTAGTAATCTTGCATAGCTGAAGAGCCACAGCCCATAAGGTCAACAGCATGTATGGAAAGCAAGGCCCACACGCTTGGAGCTTATCACAGTTCTCAGCAATCGGCCAGTGGGAATCAATAGTGCAGAGTGGTGAACAGGTTGCTCAAACTGATAAAAGATCGGAAAGGCTTTGTATGCTATGCACACAAAAGAGATATGAAGAGACATTTGTCTACACAGACACAAGAGATTTGTCCTCCAGCACAACCCTGAAGGTACACCCAAGAAACCTGAAGAAAGACCTTGGATCCATATTCTTCATGGCCCTGAAAGGCCCACCACAACACGCTTGAACAACACCTTGGTAAAGAAACACAACTTTATTTTGTAGAAGTTGGAGAAAATATTTTAAAAAAACACAAGGAGTTGTCAATAGGTTCAAACAGCACCTGCAAACAGCAAACAACAAGCTGACCCTTCCCAGCTCTGATCCGGCACCCACATGCCAAGAACAGAGCACAGCAGATGCACCCTCCCTGCTGTGAGAAGACACCCAGATGCCCCCAGAGTTCAGACATCCCCAGCAGGCAGTAAGCATGCAGCCACCACAAACCCTGGCAACAACCCGTGGCCACTGAGAAGGAGGAACAAAGCATGAAGAGGAACCATCCATCTCCACCACAAACCAATGTCTGTCCATGTTCAAGTGAAGAGTGTGAGCCAGGCCAGAGCTCCCCAGCAGAGCTCACACATGAGGACTGGAACTCACACCCAGGGCAGTCCTATTCAGCAGCAACTAAAGTTCCCCTACACCCACATTCATTCACCCCAGAACTCACAACACATTTGTCCTGTCAGACTGAAAAGCCAAACTCCAAACAATTTAAGATGTATGGTGGAACGAGAGGAGAAGGAGGGAAGAAAAACCAGGAAGCTGGAGGGAGCCACAAAGTATCTTCCAGAGGATCCTGAGCAAAGTCCAAGACTGCAGCAGCAGGGATCAGAACCCACAGGAGTGGGACATCTTCACTGTACTCAGCCGCTCCAGCAGTGCTTTTCCCCAGGCTTTAGCTCCCCCTGTGGGGCTCGGGGATGATCCCACACCTACACGAAATGAAGAACAGTTAAAACCCAGCACTTCACCTGAGCCAGGACAACAGGCTGGAACTCGAGGGGCATCCCCTGCAGCAGCTGAAAACAGGTATGGAGGATCCATTCCTAAAGCACAGCCAGGTTCCCCAAGCTCAGCCACCTTCACAACTAGCTGAGAACAGAACTGCTCCAGTCCAGGTTTGATGGAAGATCTAAGTCATCTTCATGGGCTCCTGACGCAGGGGACATTGCCCCAGCCCCTTCCCTGCCTGTGCAGTTAGAACCAAAGGGCATCTGACAGGAACAGCCAAGTATATCCACAATTCCACCTCCAGACCTTCCTCACCAAACTTCCCCCTCCATCCCACCACCGTGCTTTGCTGTGATCAGCTTCAATGATAAACTAAAGACACCAGGAGGAGCTTCTCTGTTGGCTGCATCTCTTTCCCTGGCTGATGTACAAGAGGGCTTAAATACATTCATGTCTTAATCAAGAGAATGCTAAGTTTTCACTCAGAATAAGAGACTAGCCTACTCCCATGAGCTCACTGTATCATTCAGCTGTTCTGCATGTTGTTAACATAACTAAAATTAAGCTAACAAGAGTAGAGTTTGAACAGTTGGGTGTTGGGAGCAGCGGGAGCCTGACAGCTGCCCTCTCTCCCCAGGCAGTTCATGAGCCTGCTGCTCTTTCTGCAAATGTTTGCTACAGAAAATACAAACAATTCTGTGTTGTTTTTGGTTGTTTTTTTTTTTTTCATTAAAAATCTGCCTTCTTGCTTTCCTCTAGGTTTTGTGGTCTAGAAGTAACAGAAATAGGAGTATGTGAGAGGATGGCTTACAGAGCTGGGAGCCTTCAGCCTTCTCTCTATGAGTCTGGGCAGCCCAGCCCAGCTTAATGCTTACCAACGCAAGGGCATCACACAGCATCGATCTATGTACCTGAAACCACAAAGAACTGCTGCCAGGTTTCTGTTTCTGCACACTTCCTACATAAGCTTTAGAGGAGTCACTGATCCTCTGCCTCCCTGTTACAGTAAAGGCATTGCATTACCACACTTGGGGCACTAAATACATCTCAACTGTATAGTAGAGAAGAGATTCATGCACGGCATGTGAGTTCAAGAGCAGTCCCACAGTCCCTTTTTCTCCCTCTGCCAACTGCTGTTTCCCAACCCCTTGCATTGGATCGTGAAGCAGTGCACAGGCAGGTTACCCAGCAGGATGGAATCAGTGTCAAGACATGGGCAGATGAGGTTCAGGTTCTGGGCAGCAGGGGCTTCGTCTGCTCGGGGTCTGGCACATCCTCACTCTTAGCAGGGTCTGCGTGCTGCCGGCTGCTGCTCGGGCTTCGCCAAGGCCAACCCACATCATCGTGGTGACAACAGCAAATGGAGGACAGCAGCCGAGCTCGGACCACACGCGTGCAGAGGACAAACATAATACAGTTGGCACCTCCTTGAAACGTGTTTCCAATTCCCTGCAAGGGCAAGAAAGGAATTAAGCAGTGCTATTCCTACTGGCACTTCCAAGAGAAGAGTGCATGTCTGGGCAGACCAGCTGCAGTACTGTGAGTCAGCAACTTCAAACTACAAGAGGAAAACATCAAGGAAACTACAGCCTTGCATCCAAAAGCAGCACGGACTGCTGCAGGACGAGCATCCAGTGCTGCTGCTCTCAGTCTGCTTCCCTTCTCCTGGCAGCAGCCACACCGCTTGCAGCTACACTCAGTGCCCACTAGATGATGCTGGAACAGCACTGCTGAGCATCCCAGAGCAGACGCTCCTGCCAGCCATTGCTGCATCCTGGCACAAAGCGTGTATTAAGAGCAACAGGGATTTATTCCCCTCCAAGATTTTCCTTCACATGAATTGTCTCGACAATACTTACATGCAGGACAACCAGGACTGAATTTTGCACTGCAGGGGAGTTGCAGAGCGTCAGAATGAAGCGCACAGTGCTCCAGACGCGGAGGATGATGAAGATGACAGGGATGAGAATCAACTTCTTGTCTGCTGTGGAAGTCCATGGCTGAAGAGCAGGTGCACTTGAGAGAATGGGACGATACTCTAAGAGAGCTGCATGCTTTTGTGGAGATGGAAGAGAGACAGAAACGTGAACAAAAAGTGGAAAGCCCCTTGTGTGCATATTGTATGCCACCCCTACAGCAGCACTCTCACCATTTCTCAGGTTGTGCCAGAACCACCCCTGTAAAACCCATTAATAGAGCCCAAACCCAGTTCTGGCTGGTACTGCTCTTCCTTAAGAGCATGTTCTCCTCACAGGAAAAGGCTTCTCCAGTCCAGAAGGCCCTCTGTGCAGCTGCTCAGACCCTGCTATGATCACTGAGAGTGGCTCTCAGCGCTGCTCCCACCAGGGTCAGATGGGGAGTGCGAAAGGGAGAGCAGAGCATGTCCCTGGCAGGGCAGGAGGGTGAGCCTTGCTGGTGAGGATCAGCTTTCCAGGCAGTCACATGGCTATCTTCGACAGCTGCTGGAACATTGAGTCCTGTCTGCTTTGTGTCTGCTGGCGGTGACAGGCATGAGCAAATCTGCCCCAGCTCCCCTGGAAAAGTTCAGGACTACGGTGGTCCTAGAGCTTGTCAGGGGGATCCTACCTAACCAGAGCTGTGTTTGTCCGTTTTATCACTGCTATGGCTTCACCACATCAAGAAGGTGTGCACTGGCAACATTTTTCAGTACATCTGATTTTGATGTTTTTTTGTTTGGTTAGGTAAGGCTAGGGCTTGGTGCAAGTGGAACTGTATGGATGACTGATTAGAATGTTGTCCTTCACACAGTTCCGATTCCCACTGCAGGATTCACATTTCATTCCATAGCCCCTTAGGTTTTCAAGAGGCTTTCACATTCTTCTGGAGCAAAGTCACTGCGTAACGATGCTACCGGCTGCTGAATCAGCAGGGGATGTATTTCAGCAGTGTATGAAGCAATTCCTGTCCATATAGCTGCTAAAACACAGCAAAAGGTTCAGAGCACCGGAGGATACAATCACATAACAAGCCTGTAACCCGAGCTGCAAGCAGCAAAGCACTCACCGCTCTATTAATGTGCCTTTTGATGAGGATATAGAGCACAGGCAAAGTCACATAGGCCAGTAACTCCCAAACTTTCCCCGTCAGCAGCATCCACAGCACTCGATCCTCTGCATCCAAGTTGACCCAACACCAGCCCACAGAAACATTGGAAGCATCGTAGCCTATTTTCTTCAGAGCCACAGCTGCAATCGTAATGGCAAGGGGGACTCCCCAGCTGTGGAAAGAACAAGCAGCAGGGTCATGCTGAGGACACACTCAGTGCAGTCCCCACACAATCTAGGACAGAGCACCAACACACCTGCATCAGGCCTAAGGGAAGTGGCAAGCAAGTAAGCAAGCAAGTATTTGACAGCACATTCATGAGGAATGCAAGCCCATGCAGTCCCATTTCAAATCCACTGTAGGAACCTGGGTTCTCATCCCAGAGGACACACAAAGGAAAGAAACATAATGATGTTCCACAATGAGGACCAGAACCAGAACCTGGCCTGTGCAGCAAGCAGTCAGGGTGCAGCAAGACACGAGACACCCCGTCCACTGCTCCCATCCCCTTCTGGGGTGGCTCCAAGACTCAGCAAACCAGAGCATGGTGTAACGTGATCATCCTGCAGGACCCAGCAGTGCAGGAGCAAGCTGGCCCACTCACAGCTCTCAAAACATAAGCAGTCAAATCCTGCATTGGTTCCTAAGTGATGCTTGGCGCAGGTGACAAAGAAATCTACCATTTTATTCCGTCATTTCTGCAATATTTGGTGATGGTAGTGGTGTATTGATTTTTTTGTTGGCTTTAAAGGGAACATAGTTGACACTTTGACAGCAAAATAATAGTTTCTGAAGGACAAAGGGAGAATTGCTTGTTAGGGAAAGCACTAGTAACAGGATTTGAAGTAATTAAGCCAAGAGGAGCTAGTTCAACATTATTTGGAGCTGTGTTTTGACTTCAGCTTCTTTCCTGACAGCAGATGATAGTACAGGGAAGCATTTAGCAGAACAGTAACAGTGCTGACACACATGGTTAATTCGCTCAGCATCTCGGGCTGCCCACAAGAAGCCATAAGCAAACACTTGAAAGATTTCCCAAAGCCAAATGTAAAACACCCAAGCCCTTTTCCAGCTGCTGTGAATACCCAGGACTTCACAGTCCTGCCCTGGCCCATTACAGCTCACATCACCTCATGGCTGTAACACTGGCCTGCTCTCAGCTGAGCACACCTCCTGCCCTTCCCATATTCACCCTCCCAAAAAGCTTCTGCAGAGGCTTACAAGGCACAGTTTATCAATGGGTGAGAAACGCTTCAGAGAGCATAGACTGAGCTTCCAGCATGGTCCTCCCAGTCTCTCCAGATGCATGAAGGAAAAAAGAAATGCATTAAGAAACTAATTTGCTTAAATAATTATCTTTACAGTGACCTGAAAATGAAAGAGAATGATATAGGAAGATAAAAGTGGGTCAAATTATTAAGTATAAACGTAAAAGAGAGCAGTGTGAGGACATATAGATGCATTAAGAGGCTACAGTATGGAACAGCAGACCTCACCAGCCAGTGAGGGTCTGAAAAAAACCACCAGAAATCAAGTGTCCAACCAGTATAAGGAAAATGGAGAATTGCCATACATCAGGAGCGTGATTTGTGCTTCCATTATCACTGCAGCAGCATATTGGGATCAGAAGGCTATCACAAGTACAAAGGATGACAAACTGAAAGGGAAGTTAGAAGGACTCTAGAGAAAAATCAGACATTTCAAGGAACTTCTTTATCTCCAGCTTATTTGGAAATGACTTAGCAAAGTAGAAAGGAGAACAGACTCATGATTAGGTTTTTCTTAAGAACCCCTAGAGAACAGCTTACTAATACTGGAAAATACCAGCGCTTCATACTGATCTAGCAGAATCAGATCTGTACACAACACACACACCCAAAGTATGCTTGAAGACTGGAATTAAAAGGATCCAAGACAGCACAAAGAGGCAGAAACTCTGCTTTGAGCCTCTGACGGTAATTATATATGCTGGGCCTGAGACCTAAATGCCGTCAGTGTGGGAGATAAAAGGGAAAACAGGTTGCAACTCCATCCCCAAGGCAGACACAGCAGCACCCATTTCCCTCATGCAGCACCCCACATCTATTAATACAAACACATACAATCCAGCATCTCATTCCAGATTAACAAGCACTGCATTCATGCAAGTTAAGACAAGAACCCTTACATGGCAGCTGCTCATGGCTTAAAGCCTGCTGGTTTTCTTGCCCTCAGCATGTCTGGGGTCAGATTGCTGAACACCACATTTTGATTTACTCTGGACAGGTGCTTTTTATTTTTCTCTCCCCCACCATTGGCTCTTGCATGCAGGAAAGATTTGCTGCTGTCAGCCAGCACAGGTCAGATCCTACAGCAACATGCAGGCACTTCCCGCAGGGGAGCGGAGTTTTTGTTCTCCAAGAGAGAAAAGTCAGCTTCCAGAGATCCAAGCCCAGCTCAGGAGGTTCAGGCACATGCTGTAAACACAACTGCAGACCAAACCTGCTCCAATTTCTGCATTTTTCCAACCCAAACATTAACTGGGTACCAAAGTACCACCTGCTGATATCAAGCAGGCTCTTTTGAGAGCTGTTAGAAGCCGTCAGCAGTGCACCAGGCAGCCTCCCTTCAGCTGGCTTTAGCACTGAGCTACAGCTTTTATAAACTAAAAGACAGAACCACCAAGAGATCTCTGCACCTGAGGCAAGACATAGGGACAGAAACAGCCCTCTGAGGTCTCAGACCCAAAAAGAGTCCTATGTACTCTCTCAATGTTTATAAACGGAGTCCTATCACAAAGCACAGACACTTCAGAGGTCAACAGCAATTGCTACAAAGCCAGCAGCAGTCCCAAGGTGTGATCTGCTCCTCTCCTCATGCTCAGTTTGGATCAGGTGCTCTCACAGCAAAGAAACCTTTACCCAACCAAGTGGTGCTTTGAGATTCAGAAACCAGAACAAGTGAGGCTGCCTGGAAACTTACCCTCTGGACCCCACAGTTTGCACCTTACAAGTATTATGAATATTTTCAAAGCAGACTGCAAACTTGTTTTCAAAGCTCATCTGAGCTCAACACAAATTTAAAACCAAAGTGAAGCCTGCAGTTGCCCTGTGTGGCTCTACGAGAGGCGAATGCATTACCATGACTTGACTCAGCAAGGAACAAACCTGTTGATCAGGTTTCATCCTAGCAACGTGCTAATTTCCCTACAAAAATTCCAGGTATTGACTTCCAGCAGATGTTTAGCTGGCTCTGCCCAGCTCTAAGAGCAAAGTGCTTGGTTATGCCCAGTGTCTGACACACACTCATTGCTACAAACGCCCAGTGAGTAACTGCTGGTGAGGACTGAGAAGCTCACATCCAACAGAATCCTGTCCTGCCTCCCATCCCTCCCAGGCGTGTGTCTCAGCACAGCTCTTCACACAATGGTTGCTGTGTGACTGCTCTGGCAACCTGCAAAGTGAGACAACAAGATTTTCCAGCCATAACCACAGAATCCTCCTGGCTGCATTCTGAAGCACTGGAACGTGTGGGGGCAGCCCCCATCACACACCATGCCCAGATTTTGTGTTTATGGCCAAGTTCTCAGGTAGTGATGGAAATACAGGGAAGGGGAAGGAGGATGAATCAGGAGGTGATGGGAAGAGGACAAGCCTGTGATGGTTTTCTCTGCTTTTCACACATCATAAGGCAGGAAGATGCTCCAAACATCAGCTCTGTGCAGAAAGTGAGTTACTTACGAAGCAAAACCTGTTAATAGGGCTTACATGAAAGCTATGGATGCTGCCTTCTGAACGGAGCAAGCAGAGCTGAATAATACCTTCAGCTGAAGATGGCATTTTATTTTTACCATGAAGATCTGAAGGCAAACCTGGAAACTCACCAAGAAGCCCAAAGATGCTGAGCGACATTAAACCAGAGGGAGAAGTTTAAGCATCAACCAAGTTCACACAGTGAGTGATGAGCAGAAAGAAAATTAGATGTCAACATGAAAGCACCTTGGGCTTCCCCACATGCACACCTCACCAACAAGCAGTGATGGCAACAGGAAGGGCAGAATTCAACCTTTCCTCCCAGATTCCCACCTCGCCTTGCTGTCTTGCACTGGCCCACCTTTACCAGGACTCAACTCTAATCCCATCAGCTCCCAAGCAATGCAGTTGAAAATAAAAGGTGATATCCATTGAGAAGCAGACCAAAGAAAATGCACTGCTTTCCTTAATCTGATGCTTTTTTTCTTCTCCTTTAAACCCAATCATTCCTCACACAACGTAGTGCAAAAGCCTGGCAGCACAGAGCACTGAGGGATCACTGTTTTGCTCAGCGCAGAGGTAGCACATGATTACCCAAGCTTAAATTGCATAATGAAGGCTTTTACTAAACACGATGTGGAAAATCAGCTCTCTGAACAGCAGAAACCAAGACACCGAGCTCCACTGTGGGCTGCTTTGTGTGCTTTCAATCAAATGTGCCAAAACAACCTTCCATGCTCTCCTTGCAGCATGCTGCTCATGGCTGATGCTCTCCCAGTAGTGCTGGGTTACAGCAATTGCCTGGGGATGGGGAGACAGACAGACTGACAGACTGCCTATGAGGGAAATCTGGGAAACGGAGCTCAAGCAGAGCAGGGATTGCAAATAAGTTTGGGGTGTGATTGCTGGGATGTGAGAGGAGGCAGCGGAAGGGAAGAAGCCAGGATTTTGAGTCGCCGTCACGCTTCTGTGTGCCTTTAAGCCAACTATTTGAACGTCTCCACGTCTTCCCTTGGATGCTGCAGTGGGGAATAAGCAGGGTGGGTTAGTTGGGAAGCAGCAAACCCCACATTCCAAAGGAATTCGAGGAAGGCACCATATCCCTCAAGAGTGAGCAGGGGCCCGCAGGACCCACAGCACCCACCTCACGATGTGGAAGCAGCAGAGCAAACCCGCACCCGTGGGCGAGCCCCTCACAATGGTGACATAGAGGTAGAGGGCAATGGCCACGGTCCAGAAGAAGGAGCTGGTGTTGGAGAAGGTGGACAGGGCGCCCTGCAGCACGCAGTCCCACGAGGTCCTGTCGAAGTCCTGCAGCACCCCGTAGAAATAAGAGAGGGCGGAGAGGAGGTCGGCCAACGAGAGGTAGAGCAGGAGCTCCCGGGGACGGGTCCGCAGCTCCGGCCACAGGGCGTGGGTGCCCACCAGGAGCCCGGAGCCCAGCGACGACAGCACGCACGAGGTCAGCACCGCCGCCCGCTCCGCCGCGTACAGCTGAGTGGGGGGCAGCGGCTGGGGCATGCCGGGCTGCGGCGGCGGGCGGCGGGCAGTGCGGGAAAGAGAGGGAGGAGGGCGGCGGAGAGGGAGGGAGGAGGGCCGGAGGAGGGCCGGGAGCGGCGGAGCGGCCCGCCCCGCCCCCGGGAAGCCCGCAGCCGGCTCGTTTCGTTCATACAGAGCCCACGGCAGCGCCCGCTGCACGGGGCGAGGGGCGGTTCTGCGATGCGCCCACCCGGATCGACCGCAACAAACCATCGCCTCGAAGCCTTCCTCGATTCCCTCGATTTCAGCTTGGGTTCCAGCGGGGATCGGTACTGCTCTGTGCCTCGCTCCCTAACACGGCTTAATCCTTTTCTGGAGAGCGGCAGAGCACCCCAGCGCTAATTTTAACGCGGTTTATTATGACCCGTAGAACCTGATGTCTCACCTCCCCCCGGCTTCTCTCAGCAACGAGAACCCATCCACCAGGCACATCCATCTCTGACAGAAAGATCTTCCAAAACAAGTTCAGCATTTGCATATTGCTTTCTGCCACAGAGCGCTTTCAGTTTTACATCCCCATCTTCCAAACTTAGAAGGGGCTCCGCAACGTTTTATTTCTTGTATTTTGACCAGTTCTGCATTAAGAACTTTACATCCGAGTTTTTCAGGGTAACTACGAGTGAACTGCTTTCTTTTTTTATGATTATCATTTTTTGCACTATTGGCATTTTCCTGCACTGTCCAAACCCATTGCTTCTGCTCCAGATCCACATCCAAGGAAAAGCTGCACCAGCACTTTGCTGCAGGTTATTAGAAGGCCAAGCTCTGCTCCACACAGGCTTGACATGCCTCTGGTTGCCTCAATGCACCTGCCACGTGCTTTCCTTCCTCCTGAAGATCTTCCTGCATACATTTTTCACCTTTAGCACTCTGCTATCAAACAGGCTCCCACATTTAGAAGAAATGTATTTTGGAGCCTGACGCCCTCTGCATGATCTCCATTGGAAAAGGAACTTGCAGCAACACAGACTCACTTTTCCCCTGAGCACAGTCTGACACCAAAGCTCTCACTAAATGCTATTCCAGACTTTCTTTAGCTACCATCTGACCCTAAAAAAAAAACACAACACATGACAAAATTTTGTCAGTGCTGCATTCCCAGTGATTGCTCTTACATATTTTTTTTTGCTTCCTCCTTTTTGTTTGGTTTTCCTTCCTCCACTTTCACAGCACCAAAGAAACAAGGCACTCCCATAGCAAACATCCAGATAGATCACTCCATCTTCAGCCCCTGCTTCTGAGCATTGGGTTTTTGGGGTGATGGATGTAGCTCTACAATACAGCCTCATTCAGAAGTTCTGCAAGATAATTCATTCCCACAACTCATGACCTGATCTAAACTTTTAAAATCATACAGAAGGGAATATCTGACATTTAAATTGGAATCTGACAATTAAATTGGAAATGCAAATTCTGATTTTGTCCTGTTTTACTGAGAGATGCATTTTGCCCTCAGCAATCAGAAATTCACAGCACAGGCACAGGAGATTTGCTGCATCTCTTCTGATTTTCTAGGAGGAAGACAGTTAATTTGTGCACACAAGGCATCACTCAGTAGCAGGGCATGCAGAGTTAGTGCTTCAAAACTGAGTAATAGAAGGCAGATCATTTCTTAAAGATTTCTGTCATTTGCACATGCATGACTCAGAGCTTTCAATCATCATCTAGGGGCTGAGATCACAGCACTGTGCATCTCTCCTAGCTTGGTGCCAGTAAGACGAGACAGCTTTTGTTGAAGATAGAGACTATGGGAAAAGTACCTGAGCAGAAGTCTTGGGTTCTTTCCAGCTCCTCCGACACAGCTGTACACCAACTCTGCGTTCACCAAGGGCTGAGAGACACGATTGCTCTGGATACTTGGGACACTGCATCACAGCTTCAGAGAACAAACGTGCAAGGAAGAGACTTAGCATCGCTTACAGCTGCGCACCTCCCAACCCAATCCCTCTGCCCGCGAGGGGTCACTGCCGCTCCAGGCTGCCACATCCCGCAGCAGCAGCCGCCCCAGCAGAGCTGGCAGCAAAGCAGAGCCCAGGGTTTCACTGCAGGCTTCATGGAAAACACTCAGGGCTGCTCAAGAAACTCCAGAATGACCAGAGATGATGATCAGAGCACAGCTTCTTCAGCTTTAAAAGACTCAAGTAAAAAGTCTGCAGAACTTCCAGATGAAGGAGATGTAGCTGTTTAGAACACTTACCAACAAGGCACAGCCAAACAAGTGGACATTGCAGCCAGCTCTCATGCAGCTCTTCTTGGGAGATGAAAAAGCAGCTTTCAGAGATTTGAAGGGTTTTACTTGGCAAATGCTGGGGACAAACAGCTCTGCATTCACACGTGTAAGGTCATGCTGGAAGCTGGGCACAGTGGGAAGCTGTTATATACAGTTCTGTTGGAACCAAGATTGCAATACGTGTAGAAGTACACAGAACATACAGCAGTGAGGAGCTCCACAGCCACCTGTGCTGTGTGCCCTGACTCCTTGCGCAGGAAGGCAGTGTTTGTGTGCACAGGTGACCCTCTTGGAAGGAACAACCTTAACAGAGCTACAGGAGAACTGCGCCCCCAAATGGCAGCTCTAGCAAGTTCCTTTGAATTAATTTTAGGACTCCTGGAATTAACAAACGCTATGTGAATTCCCATTTTATCCCAATTATGCAAGACTGACCTCCTCTGCTGCTGCTACTTCCAGGTTAACACCACCATTCTCCTGCTTCCCACCCCTCTGGTGATCAACAAATGCTGTATGTGAAGTCATGGTGCTCCATCCCCTCTGCAACAGAGCTGCAACAGAGCAGAGTGCACACAGCTACCAAACCAAGGCAGCTTGCTGCGACCCAGCTCTGTGCTGCCTCTGCCCAGCAACCCAAGGGCTTCCCTTTCAGGGAGAGATGCTTAGTCATTGTAAGCAGCTTTCCATTAGCACTGAAAATGTGAAGTCAGGCTGCAGAGACTACACAAAAATTCAAGCCAGCAACTGACAAAAAAAAAAGCCACCGCAGCAAGGACAGCTTGATGTGGGCAGAATGTAATTAGCTACACTGCTGGAGTGCAGCCAGCACAATCCATGAATTAAGGATGGCCCCAGTGCTGTGACAGTTTTTCATTTCAAATTTAAATTAGGAGATTAATATGGGATGTTCCTGCTTGCTGTGGTTGAACAAAAATAAAGGCACTCACAGTCAAACAGAAATACCACATCTAAGACGTAGGAGTTGTTGTCCATGTGTTTTTCTTAGAAGACAACAATAGCAACAAGAAAATAGGCTGAACGCTTGTATTTTGGGGGTGCAACGTTACCGTAAATTGAATTAGAAGTATACACAGTATCACATGACAGAAAGCTCTGCTTAGAGCCTGTGGTTTTAACACAGCTGAGACAAGGATATAGAAGCTAATAAGAAGTCCCCTCAAGTGGAAGTCACAAGGTTTGCCAGCTTCTCTGGTCCCTGTGCCAGAAGCCTTATTCAAATCTTCACACAAGTCATCTGAAGTGCAAAGCAGCAAAGAGACAATTCTGCAAAGGGGAAACGGTGTAAAACAGAGCTCAGGAGATTAGCTCTTTCATTAACATGAGACCACTCAACCACTACAGTTCAGAGTCATCTTCGGATTCTGGAAACATGCAGTAAAGCACCACGTTGTACTCCTCACCCTCCTTCAGTGAGCCAAGCAAAAGGTTTGCAATTTAAACCACACGCAGATGCTGACTGCTCAGGTCCCACACTTGTGGGCAACTGTTACCATTTGTCTAACCAGGGAATCAGGCACATCACATCAATGACACTTAGTTTTCAGTACTGTTTGCATCATGGGTTCCTTCCCAAGGTAGCAGAGAGCACATGGAATATAATTTGCAATGACACCCACACTGTCAGAGACACACTGCTACCCATCCTGGTTTGAACACTACCACACCAAAGTTAAGGTTCAAAGCATTGTTATATACTGGAATTCAAACCTACTAACTTTATTAACACAAAGTTGCTCAGGAATTACAGAGTAAGTGAGACAGGTTGAGTCCCAAATGTTTGACCATTGCCCCAACCACATTCCAGTCATTGTATCATATGGAGTAGCACTGTTTTGGCCAAGAGCACTATAAAAAGCACTTACAGAGAATACAGAGAGGCACTCTGCAGTGCAGTGATTTTTTAAAGCCATTTATTACCTATAATGCAGTAAAGTTAAAAAGCAGAACCACATCCTGCTTCTCCCCAGAAAGCGTGGGACTGACTGCTATCTTTGCTCTATGAAGAATAAACCTAAAGGTAAAAAGCCATCAAAAGTAATAGCTGGTCAGGAAAGCTGGTGTACTAGCTCAAAACATTTGCCTCATGACAAACCCTGCAAAGGTAGAGATGAAGTTTCAGAAGAGTTGCAACAGAAGGATACTCTGCTCCCTTCTGGCCACCCATCTTCTAAGTGCAGAACTTTTACAGACAGTTCGTAAAGTTGCACAACTCCCTGTAATTGGTGCAATTATGTTCATGTCTGGAAAAAAAAGAAGGCATACAGAAGTGTAGGCAACCAAAGTCATAGCTCGTGTTTTAAAAAAGGCTTAAGGTTTGACATCCCTGGATTACAACACCCAGCCAAGTCAGCAGGAACCATAGAATATTAAACAAAGCCAATCTCTTTGCGTCAGTATTAATGAAAAACTCTCATTCTCTGCACAGGTACTGTAAGTTTCAACTGGATTTTGGCAAGGACTTGCCTTCTTCTGAGCTTGTGGAACTCCACCCCCCCAACACACACACAATAACTGCTATCATCTTAGATTCGTCTTCTCCAGAAATCTCCTTTGTCTCACTCCTACCTAAACAAGGTAAGGAGAAATAGCTGACTGCATCACTAAAATCTAGTTCCTCTCCAGAAAGATCAGCTAAGTTTTTGGGTGCCTGACCACTGACTGCATATACTTGCCATACATACCTGCTGACCAGCAGCCAACAGAAATAATGACTACAGGTGAGTTGTTCCCACAGCA